AAAAAAAAACTCATTGTTTCCTTAAACATAATTAACCAGTTGATCTTTGTAGTGGAGACGTCATGTGTTTCCTGCAAGGTATGGACTGAATTTTTAAACACTATATAAATGAACTGCAAGTTGGGAAGGGTTAAGTGCCTGAGTGAAACAGGCCCATGATGTGTCTCCATTTAAAGTACGTAATGAAGTTGATTTACTCATATTTCTAATCCTGCTAATTGAACGCTTTTGACTTGAGTGCTGCAACTGTTACTGCTATTGCAGTCGCTCATGGAAGGATGATACATTGTTCAATAAAAGTACTTTCTTATTTATTTTATGTTTTTTTTTATTTATTTATTTTTTTTATTTTATAAATGGCTGTATCAGTACTGTTATGCATGTGCAACAGACAGCTGAATGTCTCATGTTGCATGAACTAAGGAATTGTGTGACTACAACCAGACCTTCCATGTCTCTTCCTCTTCATCCCTTGGTGTTAACCTTCCATGGCCACATGCTTAACTTACTGTCTATATGTCCCTCTGACAATCATATTTAGAGTGCTGGAGAATGGAATGCTGAAATTTACACCTAAGAGAAATAAAAGCATAAAAATCAGTCATGAAAGAAGAGTTTAATAATTTGTGCTCTTTGCCGAATATTACTGTGATAATTCATGTCTGAATATAGAGGTAGTGTTTGCGGGAAAAATGTTAATTGTAAAGTGAGAAGTATAGAGACAGTTTGGGATTTTAAGGCATAGATTTGGTGGGATAGTACTAAAGTATAAGTGGGAAGAATGCAAGTGGGACTGTATTGGACTAAGGTATGGTAATGCACCTGCCCAGTGGCAGGCTGTGGTGGCCATGGTAATGGACATTGGGTTTCCAGAAAGGCTAAGAATATCCAGCCTGGCCGAACGACTATAACATCACAAGGACTCAGATCGGTGGAGTAAGTGAATGAGAAAAGTGAAAAAGTATTCCTCCCACCCAAATTAAACTAAATGGGAAAGCTTATTTGGTCCAAGGTCAATGAACTAACTTCGTGGTACATCACGAATTTGGTGAATTCAAGTTACCTTCAATAGTATATAAAGAAAGCAGTATAAGGTTTTGAAGATTGCTGCAATTTGCAGCTACAGTTAAAATTATTTTTAGATTTAAATTTATTTCATCCGCCTTACGGGAAACTCATGCGAGTCATGCCAGACACCCCGAAGTTCCGTAACTTTGTAACCAATGAATGAACGTGTTACAGCGGGTGGCGTTGTGTCGTAGTTGTGCAGTGCGTTGCTATTGGCTACTAGTTCAGTTCGTGAGAGTAGTTTGATGTGCAAGTGCGAGGTTGGGGTAACTCAAAAAGGAAACGTGTCAGTTATTAATGAAGATCGCACGTTATCGAGCCATTTACTATAAGCAGTATTTATGACACACAGTTGTTGGATGAACCTTTATTTTTTAGCTTGATAGTAAAAACCTAAATGGTGCTGAGGCGATTTGTGGCACGTCAGGACCAGGCGGGCAAGAAGTAAAAACTATTTGTAAGATGGCGGACTCTGGTTATTATCAGGTGAGTACCTGCTGACATTTTTGTAGAACTTTTGGGCGTATAATGCCCTTATTATTATGTGATTAGAATTCCCGATATCTTGTGTATGTGTTCTACAGGCTGAGATGTTAGTTGCAGCCACAAACATGAGGAATACAACGTACATGATCATTTAACCTAGTCAGCTAATGAAACAGGTTCTGGTTCTGGCTTGTTTGACCTTACCGAATTAACAGTCCACCTGTCAAATTTGTCTGTGTATGCCTAGATCATATGCAGTATCTTAATTATGTATAGGGTTCACGTGTTGCCACGTCGGTTAAATCATATAGCGACACGTTTATTTTTTTGTGTAGATGACTTGATGTTCAAACATGCTTATAGATTGCAATTTCATGAGCGTTGTCATACTCATACCTGACTTGAGGATAACGGGAGCCCGGTTTTGGGGGAGGGGGTCATTAGCTCCGGAGATTTTAGTTGCGTAAGAAGTGTGTTCATTTTGATCAATAAATGGGTCGGTGTGGTTACGTTTAGTATAATCTTAATTGACATGAATGTTTCCTTCTTGCATGCTTAGGTTATTTTAACCTAGATTATTGCATGAGAAGTTCATTCTGTTTTTCTGTGTTAATAATCATACTATTTCAGGGATAGTAAACTACCAAAAAAATTGTAGAAATATTTGTAACTAAACCATGTAGCATGGTCTTTCTTTAGTTCCTCAGCTAGAGAAGAAATACCCCACTGTTTGTAGCTGTTCACAAGAGCTCATGAGCAATCACTGTCCTGATCCAAATGAATCCATCCTGCACAATCCTATCCTACCATCTGTCTAGGTCTTCCAAGTGGTCTTTTCCCATCATATTTTCTGACCCACACTTAGTATGCATTTCTCACTTCCCCAATAACTGGTACATGCCTCCTATCTTATCCTGTCATAGATCGCCCTAATAATGAACCTGAAGAGTGTTAAGTTACAAAGGGCCTCACAATGCAGTTTTCTCCAGCATCTTGTTTCACACCCGTACAAACTCACAGGCAGAATTATTATTTTGTATATATTTTAATTGTGGTCTTAGATTAACTTGGAGACAAAATATTTCAAACTGAATGGTAGCAATTATCCCCCAACTTTTATCTGCACATAATTTTGTTTGGGAATGCAATTTGAATTTGTTATTTCCCTTCCCAAGTATATGAACTTCGCCACATTTTCAAAGGCTCTGTTAGATATCTGTATATTATAGTTTTGTACATATATATGACCGTCATAAATACATTGTTTATTTTCTGCCTTATGTACATCTCATCGTACTGGAGTACATTTTCGCCATATGCAGCCTGTACAGGTTGTGTGCAGCAAATTCCTTAGTCGCAACAACCTGTACACTTGAAGAAACATCAGTGTCACTAAAGAAAAACGGCAAGTGAATAATAACGGACGTTGCATATAGACGGCATAAAAGCAAAATGCAAAGTTAGATGCTTGATGTCAGTAGCGGATCAAGTGAAGTGTAAGGAGGGCTTGAACATATCACAGTGAATGAATAAAGAATGGACTGTCATTTAGGGAACATGCTTACCCCTTGCATGGTCACCAGTTTCTCACTGCAGAGGCATGGGTTCAGTCCCACAGTTGACAGTGTGCGATTAGCGAGTAAGGTTTTTCTCCAAAATTTTATGCTTTCGTGCCCCAGTTTGCGTTCCACCAGTTCTCCACACTGTTGCACTTTTGGAGTCACATTAATTGGGGGTTTGTCATGTTACTGAGGTGTGCAAATCATGTTCACATGCTCCACTATTTCAAACCATGCAGGATCCACATTGGACATAAAGGTATAAGTAAAGGTATCCCTGTAACAGGCCATGGAAACCCATAAGGTTTTGAGACATTGAAACTCCCTTACTTTCTAGACAGTTGACTCAGAGATGGTGATGAGGTTGTCAGCCTTACATGCTGGCCGCCCTTTACCTCTCAGGAACAATCGTGGTACTCGTTTCTATTAGAGGCCGAGTCAACCCAAGGGGCATAGTGTAGGTGGAAGGGTTAGGTCAATTGAAAAATGCAGTGACCTTATCGGGAATAGAGCATGCAACCTTTTGGCTTGTGGCATAGTGCCTCAACCAACTACGCTATTGTGTGCCCCCATTTTCATTGTATAAATGAGAAAATGTGCATATAAGGAAATTTACATGACTTTCTGAACGTGGTGCAGTTTGCCTTGCTGGAATTACGAGTTTCTGAAACCTTAAGATACTTCACTCTCATTACATATCTGAGAAAAGTATATGGCAGAGACTTATTATGTTTTTAATTTGTTAACATGATACTAAAATGAACTTTGTGATATGTATACTAGATTCTGTAAACAGTTCATGAGTAAGGTAAAAAGGTACAGTTGTCCGTGTGCCTACCCAATTAAGCACTACTCCATGAAAACGTATGGGGGAGTGGATGTATAGATCCACATTTTCTTGACCTTGGCACTAGTTGGCGGTGAGTGGTCAGCTTCACGCCCCGGCCGCTTTATCCCAGGGAAAGAGCTCCTTGTATTCGTTGTATAGGAGGTTGGGTGGATCCCAGAGCCGGTCTGGACGATGTGGAGAAGTGAAAATTCTTGACTCTACTGGGACTCGAACTCCGACTTCTTGGTTTTCCAGCCTGTAGCCAGTCGCTATACCGACTGCGCCATCCTGGCTCACTAACAGTTCATGAGTTCAGGGATGAATATGTTTATGATTGTGTTTATTTGGTAACTGGCATAAAGCCCTTTTGAAAGTTTGGTAGGAAGTTGTTACTGCCAAAATCATGTTTGGTCACACTGTGCTTGGATCCACTCTCACAAAATGCAGCTGTTAGGGGGCACTTTGAAATCACGATTTTCGCCATATTATGACATTGCCTGCTTGTCTGCTGCTTAATGACCTTGTGGCAAACATTTGTGACCTTGGATACCTTCAGGTCAGGTCAGGTCAGGTCAGGTCACAGTCATCCTTGGAGTCATATTTAACAACCTGCACCTTTTATCACAGACATTTACCATGACATGGTAAAGCTCTAAACGTTATTTTCAGTAAAGTTAGAGTCAAACATTCATCTTGAGGTTACAATAAGAAGGCATCTGCTGGAGATTTGTGTTCTGGGATGCGAGGCCGTACAGTCTGATTTTGTTTCATTTCTACGCGACATGCCGACTGCCCACTTGTGTATGGAGAAGAATCCTTGCCTTTGCCAGAAATCCAGTCCAGCATGTAGCCAAGTCACTATACTGACTGAGCTAACCCGGTACACACCATTTGTTGCCGTTTGAAACTGATAAGCGAACTCACTCGATACGCAGAGCACGGGTTTCTCTCATGTTTCGGTGAAGTGGCGAAGGGACCGAGAAATGGAAGTGAGGGGAAGTGGACAGAGAGAGGTGGAAGTCGGTGTGGTGCGGTGTGCCGTGACCATTCTGTTGTGAGACGTGCGAAGTGTGTGGTGTGGTGATGCAGGGGTCTACTCATGAGCCTTACCATGGTGCTCACGAAGGAAAAGGCCCCTAAGCTGAGATCCCTGCTTTTTTTGGTACGTATCAGTTTGTGATAGTAGATATCGCCCCATCAGCTGCTGAGGTTGTGCGCTGCAGAATGAGACCGTGAAGGGTGAAATGCGGTTCCAGAAGGAAGTGTCCCAGTACTCGCCTGGAGACTGAGGAAACAGTGAAAATGTCAGTAGTTCGACGGAGATTTGAACTTGGTACTTCCCGAATACCAGTTCAGCACCCTCTCGGAGTGTGTGTGGTTTAAGTTGTAGGAGTGGGGTGGGACGGAGGCCACGGATATGTGTATTGTACTTGCCTCACGTGACAGGTGAGCGTTCCGCCCTGGCGGATTGATAATTGTCAAAGGAAACGGAAGTACTGGGAGAGAAACCTACTACAGCTCCACTTCGTCCACATAAACTGTCCTGGGATTGAACCTTGGCCTCTGCTGTTTGGTTCAACATTGCCCTGTTCTTTTCGTGTTATTAGGGCGTTAGAGGATGGGACAACAGCAGTGTGGTTACGGTCAGTGCTGAAACCTCGTGCCTCCTGCATGCAAGGCGAACGTACCGCTGCTGGAACCGGGATAGCTGTCTGGGTATATATAGTCTTCAGTGCATAAGTGTTTCACCTTTCAAATGCAAAGTTTTGTTCTTGCCTCCTACGTACACACTCGTACGACGACCATTCTAAGGCTTGTAGTTTATAGTACTAAGAGAGCAGGCATCTCAGTTTAGTCACGTTTTGAACGCGTTTTACTTTCCATAAAATTTCTTTAAAATCCGTAAAATGCTGGCACCTGCTAATTAATTGCCAGTAGCGCGCAGTGACAAGTGTGTGTGTTTTTTTTTCCCCCGTGGTGTCTTGGTGTCACACGTGGTTTAGGTATTCTGGCCGTGTGTATAGTGACTGTACGTAGGATACTTTGAAACGTGAAAACACTTGTCTGTTGAAGATTAATAATAATGCAACAGGATACTGAAGCATAGTATCACTTTGTATAATATTTAGGTATGAGCTTGACCGTCGAGGAACCTTGACTTGATTCCTGACCAACATATTTTTCTCTTCTCCACAGCGCCCAGACCGGCTCTGGGGTACACCCAGTTTCCTAAATGTGTACGGGAGACTTCTTCGGGGCTAAAGCGATTGGGAAGTGAAGCTGACCACTCACTTCCCATCTACTGCTTGAATTTCATACCAAAACTCACCCATACATCGTCATAGCGTGGTGCTTAAGCGCAGGAGCAGCTCTGCCTTCACTCTGAACAGGATGGTATAGCGGTAAAACTGTAGACTTGTATTTGGGCGATCTTCCGTTCGAATATCGGCCGTGACAGCAGTTATCCCGGGGCCCTGCCAAGTTAATACCGAGTTAATGCCTTAGGCCACAACCGGGTCGTTCCAGATCTTTTGCATTTGATCGTGTATGTATCGTTCTGCCATTTGACGCTATGTAGTATGGCCACTGGCAGCGTTTCCACAAGAGAACTT